GGTTTTCGTTGTTATCAGATATTGGGTCTTTTCTTTGGGATACGTAAATAAGGCAAGCTCTAAATGGCTAGCAAACTGCTTCCTTGTGCTATATTTAAATTTGGATATTTGAATTTGGGGTTTGGGCATTGGCCTGACTTTGAGATAAATGTCTCATTCTGCACAGAAGTAAGCATAGACAAATACATGGGTGCAAGTCTTTAATTAGTTAAAATGTAGCATCTAGTTCCATTGTAAAAGACAACTTAAAATTTCTCCCCAGAAAGCAAGGGACATAACCAAGTCAAAAGAAAAACTGCTATTTTATATCACGTGTAATATAGGGCCGGGATTATGAAAAATATCGGGACTTCTCCAACTAAATTATGTGACAGAGTAGACCAAACTTTGCCAAAATCAGTCCTGAAAAAAAATTACTGAAGGTCGAAGCTGTTGAGAGTACAGTTGTAATATCAAAATGCTTATGGGAAGACTGAACCGTGAGTGCTGAGGGAGCGAGGCAGATGGAGGCACTGTTTGGTGTGGGGCGGAGGGGCAGCTTCAAGGGTATGGAGAAGTTAGAAACCCACAGTGTGAGACAGTACCATGGATGGGGATCTGGCTAATGTGCAAGGGATGGGAAGAGGACCAAGATGAAGTGTTTTCAAGCTATCTCCAGCCTGCAACTGTCTACCAGCAGAGGGCGAGCTTTCTCTAGTACTCTCTCCTCAGGAAGACAGACTCAGCAGGCCTTATTTTCAGTTTCCCCAGGAAGAGTGCAATGTGGTAACTTTGAATCTCTGTGGCACAAAGGAGAGGACGTGGTAGTTGACTCCATCGACAAGATTAGTTTAATGTACACGTCTAAAGAAAATGAAGCACGGGGGAGTACACCTGTGACACCAAAAAGTTTTGAAAGTGGAAAAGAATGTGCTTGCTCTATGCCTGAATGGGACAGACTTACCGACTGATCCACTAGAGCTTTCATGGCATTTTCCTATAAGCATTCAGTAATCTCACAAGACACCATTCTTGGATGTGTTCCAGCACTAGGGGAATACTTTGATTGATAACGCTGCTTGTGAGTTTGATTGCCAGAACTGAGAGAAATGTAGACATCTACAGCACTGGGGAGGCAGAAGCAGATGGATTTCTGAGGCTCTCGGGACATCCAACCCAGCCTACTTAGCAACTTCTAGAACAGAAAGAACCCCCTTTTAAAAGGAAAAGTGGATGGCTTGTAGGAAGCATATCTTAGGGTAAGCAATGGAGAAACCAGATTTGCTAAGTACACATCTGTTTTCTTCAACAGAAGGAAGAATGATGCCTGGTCACTTGGAGTGCTAGAGTGAAAGTGATGGTCTTTTGCTATTCTATTAAGAAACAGCCTCCACCTGAATTTCTCCCAAATCCTGAGAATTGTTTAGGCCCCAATCCTGGTCTTTGTGTCTCAGCAAAAATCTCATCCCTGTGAAAAAGACACCATGTACTTTGCATCTGCCACTAATTGAACCCATCCTTCCTTAGGCTTATTACAAGTTCTTCTCTATGCCCTAGCCCTGAGCACCGTTTGCCAATCAATACAACTCATCCTTAGGATAAAGGTCTTATGTACTTTGTTAGAGTAGATATTTTGCAAGGGATTAAGTGTGCAAAAAAATTAAACCACAGAATCAGACTCTCTAGAAGCTTTGATAACAGTCTGACTGATCAAGTCCAGTTGTACCAAGTTTTCCTTCTCACCTCTTTGCAGTTTGGTTCCCTGCTGGCTGTTATTGCTTCAGGGACACCATCCCAACTGATGGCATATGAGGAACAGCATCAGAGATTTTCTCTGGACTACACACACACACACACACACACACACACACACACACACAGATAAAGGAAATGAAGGTGACAACAGATAAATTACATGACTAGATGATTTCTTATAAAACAGAAGAGAAAAAAGAAGGTCACATTAGAAGCCTCTTTTTGGCAGGAAAAACTGAATAAAGAGATGGAAAATAAAAAGAAGGGCTAGAAGATAAGGAGGGCAAGGTGTTCCATTTCCAGATAATACTAATCCTGTCCGGAAATGTAAAGGGGCCACAGAATATAAAAAAAAATGAGTAAGGAAATGCCAACACCCAGTTAACAACAGAATTTAAGAAATGATTGCACAAAGGAAGACAAATAACAAACATGAGATTTCACAGGGGTAACACTGGATTGAAGAAAAATTTCCACAATGGCAGAGCACAATGAATACTTTCTTAAAATACTTATTGGCCATTTGCATTTTTTCTTTGAAAAACAGTCTGCTGGCCTATTTTCTAACTGGCAGTTTGGTCTTTTGCACTTTTTTTTGCTGTTCTTTATAAATTTTCGATAATAGTATTTCTGCTTGAAGCATAACTGGCTGGTTTTCTTCCATTTTGTATGTTGTCTTCTGTTCAGTTTGCTGCTGGCTTCCTTTACAGTGCAGAAACATAAATTTCATGTAGTCCAACTTTCTAATTCTTGGCTCCTGTGCTATTAAAGTCCAGACAAGAAATTTCTTGCCTATTCCTATACTATAAAGTTTGGTTCCTATGCTTTCCTCTAGTGATTTCAGTGCTTCGAGTTTTAAATTAAAGTTGTTAGCCTACTTTGAGTTGATTTTCATATCACATCTCATTTTTCTGACGGTGTAAGAACATTGCTATCACTACTGTTATTGAACAGTCTGTCTTCTCTCCACTCCACTTTGTTAACAATGTCATAAAAAAATCAGGTGGCTACAGCTGTATGGGATAATTTCTGTGTCTTCTGTTCTGTTTCACTGGTCTCTATGTCTGTTTTGTGCCAGTATCATATTTTCTGTGTCACAGTAACATTATAGTATAATTTGAGGTTAGGTATTGTGTCTTTTACCTGTAGTGTTGCTTTGGCTATTGTGGTCTGTTATGTTTCTGTCAATGTAGGAGTACAGAAACTCTTTGCATGTCTGTATTTTTGTTGGTTTCCTTTTTCAGTGTCCACAAGTTTTCATTGTAGAGATCTTTCACTTTCTTGGCTAAGGTTATTCCTAAGTACTTTATTTTGGGATCTATAACAAATGGAATATTTTTCCAATTTCTTTCCCAGTGAGTCCATTATTGATAAATATGAAATCCCCTGATTTATTTTTTGTATGTCAATTTTGTATCCCACAAGGTTACTGAAAGTAACTACTATATTGAAGAGTTTTCTGGTAAAGTTTACAGGGTCTTTTAGGTATCCATGATATAGTCTATCAATAGGGATAATTTGACTTATTTTTTATGCTTCTTGTACATTCCTCTTGTTTTATTGCTCTGGTTAAGACTTCAGGCCCTGTACTGAATAAGAGTGCCAACAATATGCCTTCTTGTCTTGTTCCAGATTTTAGAGGAAATGCTTAGTTTTCTCCCTTAGCAAAATGGTTGCTTACATATTTGTTGTATACATCCTTAATCATTTTCAGATATGTTGAGCCTGTTCCTAATTTCTCCAGGACTTCTATCATAAGGCATGCTGAACTTTGTTAACTGTTCTTTTTATGTGATCGTGTGGTTTCTGTCTTTTGTTTATTTGTATAGTGTAGTGGTATTATATTCACTGATAAGTGTACATTGAACCAAGTTCATCGCTTAGTCATGATGCATGATAACCTTAAAGCATTTTTGAATTACATTACATATTTTAAGTACATTTGAATTATGTAATGTATTGTGAATTATATTTAGTTGGCAATTATTTTGTTCACAATTTTTGTAGCTCTGATCATCAGGAAAATGAGTCTATAATTTTAGTCTGCCATACACATGTAGAAGTGCGCCAATTTCTGTGCTGTTTATCACCTCTTTGGAATATAAATTTCAAATTATTCCTTAATGATGCTACAGATTTCATTGGAATCTGTAATTATAATTCTCCTTTCACCATAACTTTTATTAGGTGGGGTTTCTTTCTCATTCGTTTTATTAGTTTGGCTAAGGTTTGCCAGTCTTGTTGTCCTGTAAAGAAAACAACATTTTTTTTGGCTAATTCTATATATTGAGGGTTTGTTGGTCTCTGTTTCATTAAATTCTGCTTTAATTGTTATGATTGGGGGGGCAGCTACTGGTTCGGGAGTGACTTCTTATAAGGTTGTAGAACCTTAATTGAAATATTAGGCTATTAGAAAAGTCTGATTTTTGTTTGATTGTGCTTACTTAACTTTCCTCTTAGTATGCCTTAGTTATTCCCCTGAGTGCTTATGGTTTTCATTTGTTTCTAGGAATTTAAATTTCTCCTTGATTTCTTTAATGACCCACTGTACATTAAAAAGGGTATTTTTCAAAAGTGTCTTGTTAAGTGTCCAAGTATTTGTGTAATTTCTGTAGTCTCTCCTGCTAAGGGTTTCTACTTTTATTGCAGAATGATCTGATAGGATATAGGAATCCGTTCATTGTCATCCTCTTCCTTTCCCTCTCCTTCTCCTCCCCTCTCCTCTTCCCTCTCTCCCTCTGTGCAAGTTAAATCCAGTTGATCCATGGTACAGTAAATATCCTAACACTATTTGAAATATTGACTTTTGTGTCTCCCTTCGGATAGGAATTATGTAAATGGAGGGCACACTGCCCAAGTGTGGCACGCACTAGGCATTTGATCAACAGCTACTGAGGAAGATTTTCTATGGAATTTTAACATGCAGGACGAAAACAGAACAACTGGGTTGGGAAGACAGCCTTTATGTATGGAAAGAAAATCGTAGAGAAAAATCCAAGGAATAGCGAAGGCTGATCTTTCTGCCTTCATTAAGGGAAAGGGCATCATTAAGACCTCCAGAGGGTATCCAGGTCCCGAGACGCTCTCTCCAGACAAGGTGCTCGCCCCTGGAGAGCTTCCTCCTGGCAGACGCTCGGGTCTGCCCTTCAGACAGAAATAAGAGGCGACCCATATCTCTGGGCCAGTGTGACAGGCTGTAAATCCACGGCGGGCGGAAAAAAATGTAAGTCTCGATTTCCGGGGACCGTTTAGAGAAAGCACCAGCCCCTCCCCTTCCGGTCCGTTCCTCTCTGTCTCCCCCGGACGCACGTGTGTTTGGGCCAAGTAAAGTTGGGAGCTGCGGCGGAGCCGTCCGTGAGGCTGCTGTGTCCGGACGCGCGGGGCTGGTGGCCGGGACATCGCCATGGTGGGGTGGGCGGCGCCCTCGCGTGCTTCCCCGGGAAACTGGGTCGGGCGGACGGGAAGGGGATCCTCAGCCCGGGAGAGGCCGGCCCGCGAAGCGGCCGCCTGGGCGGGGGTGGCCGTGGGTGTCTGTCCCGGGACCTAGTGCTCCCGCGCTTCCCCCCTCGCCGTGGGTGTCTCCCCCGGGACTGAGTGCTCCCGCATTTCCCCAGGTCTCCTTCCCCTGGGGGAAGCCCTGTACCTTTACATCCTCACCAGTACCACATTTCTGGGCCCGCCCACCTCTGCCCTTAGGCAGGTACAGATCCTCCCTGCCCTGGGCACAGTCACCATGAAGTGTATGCCCACAGCCCTTGGGTGGCCAGTTCTGGTCACAGTCCTGCCTCTACAACCCCCAATCCTCCGGGACAACGATGTTACTTTGTCTGTACTTTTAAACAAAGTCATTACTTAAGACTGTTTATGAAACATTTATGCGTCGCAGTATAAAGGACTCATTCACAGAATCCGGATATTTCGTGTGGATATTGGAAGATAGCTTGTGGGAGTGTGTTCTCTCCTTCCACTGTGTGGGTACCTGAGATCCAACTGGAAGTCCTAGGATTAGCAGCAGGAGCCTTTACTTGCCAAGCCATCTCTGTCCCTTCTGTCTTCTGTTTCTTTGCTTTTTTTTTTTTTCTTTTTTCTTTTTTTTTTTTTTGTCTTTTCCTGTCTTCCTTGCCTACTTTCAGTCTGGTTATCCCTATGCTTGCACAATTTCTAACTATAATTTTCAGAGTATTTCAGATATTAAAGCAGTTATGTGTAGTTGTATTGGGAATTCGACTATGCTTGTCCTTAGCAATAAATAGGCAGTTCATGTTTGCCACCCTTAGTAAAAATGGGTTGTTCTGCATAGAGGTCAAAGTAGTAGCATTTTTATTGTTCTAATTGTCACATTTTTGGCTCCATTTTTCTCATTATCATCAACAGTGGTCCTGCACCTTTCTATAAAACTCAGCACATGGTTCCAGAGGTCTGAGAGTGACACCTGTCATCTCTGGGAAGTTATTTAACTTCCATCAGCTTAATTACAATGATAGAATGCTTCACAGAGATTAAAAATTATGTATTCCATTCCTTTTCCGAAGCACTAAGTTTTGGTCAGTAGACCATGGGCCAGGGAGAGTGGGCATTTCCTGAGGTTTTTTTTTTTTTTTTTTTTTTCCCCACTTATGGTTGGAGAGGCGAGCAAGCCTTTAGACCTGACAGACTGTCTGGGAGGTTGTGGTCTAACAGGGTCGGGGGAGCCTGACTCCTTAAGTCAACCAGGAGAGTGGACTGTTTAGTATTTATTTTGGGTTTCTGTTGTACAGACTCCAAGTAATATAGGTAGGCCAAAGTACAGGACTGCATAATTTAAAAAAACAACCTTATGTATAATGGCTTTGAGGGCTGGCTTCTGATGGCCTTAACTGCTAAGGCTTGAGTTTGGGGAAATAGTTTAGGGGATTGTTTTTGTTGCTGTTGTTTTTTCTCATTTAGGTGTGCTTAATTTGTAGTGGCTTCTGTTTTTCCTAGGTTCTTGGTTTGAACCAGCCAAGTTCGGTCAACATGATTTTGTATGTGCCATCCCATTCACTTCCTTGTGCCCCAGGGAAATGCCTGCTCAAATTCTGTTCTTTGCACTAGAGATGTCTTAACTGTAGGCAGCCACTAGTCTCCTTCCACTAGTCTCAGAGCTTGCCTTAAGCTTTCACAGCTGATAAACACTGAGCCGAACTCCTGGAATCCAGTGGCAGAGAGGGAGGCGTGATAAGCAAAGGGGTCAAGACCAGGTTGGAGAAACCCACAGAAACAGCTGACCTGAACAAGGGGGAGCTCATGGACCCCAGACTGATAGCTGGGAAACCAGCATAGGACTGATCCAGACCCCATGAACGTGGGTGTCAGTTAGGAGGTCTGGGCAATCTATGGAGCCTCTGGTAGTGGATTGGTATTTTCGTTAGTGTATGAATGGACTTGAGCTCATTCCCCATAAAGGGACACTCTCTCAGCCTAGACACATGTGGAGGGCCTAGGTCCTGCTCCAAATGGTATGACAGACTTTGAATATCCCCCATGGAAGGCCTCCCCTCCCTGGGAAGCAGAAAGGGGGTGGGATGGGGCGTTGGTGAGGAGGCAGGAGAGGAGGGGAGGGAGAGGGAACTGGGATTGACATGTAAAACAAGCTTGTTTCTAATTTTTAAAAAATGATTAAAAAAAAAAAAAAAAAAAAGCTTGCACAGCTGAATCCCTGTCTTGCATTGGCTCCCTGTGAGGGCTAATGCCATTGGAGATTTCTGACTACATGTCATCTGTGATGAGCATGGGGGAACAAAGACTGTTGGAATTAGGAAGATGTTTGGCCTGTCTCCTCATTCCTAGTGTGATGCCTCTGGCTCATTGTATTTTCTGAAGATGATTTTGTGACTGTAGTCACTTAAACTATCTGACTACATCTGTCCTTTCTTTTAGCCTAAAGGACTGAAAGGAAAGATTGTAGGTCGGGAAAAGAAAGTCATCCATCCGTACAGCAGGAAAGCAGCTCAGATTACAAGAGAGTCCCACAAACAAGACAAGAAGGAAAGGTACGTATCTAGTCCTGTTGATGTGCACTAGGGAAAGTGCCTTCATCTGCCAGTTAGGTGTGTGTTCCTCAGTTGCCACCCCCGCTTCTCCTTTGATAAATATTGTTTCTTGTGCTCTTGTACTGAGGTAAATGTAAGGAAGCCTCTGGTCTTACAGAACTGGCCAAAAACAGAAGCTTAAGTAACCGTCCATGTTGAATGTAGTGAAGAAAAATTAACACAGGTGAAAGAATAAAGAGGGAGAGGTTATATTTTATAGAAGTCTTGGAAGACTCCAAGAAGTTAATTAGCATTTGAGCAGAGTTGAGAGGTAGTAGAGAGGAAACTACTGATAAGGCATATCCGTTGTGCTGTGTATACAACATAACAAAGTAAATGTGGAATGTGTGGGTAACATCTTGGGTCTAGTGTTGACTGGTTAGAGATGTCACAGGTTAGGGAGCTGTCAGTATTTGTGGGTCGGTAGATTGGAGCCAAGAGACTAGATCTTAGCATGAGGGCTGTAGAGAACAGAACATGGAGAGAACACAGTGAGGCCTGAGGCAGCCTAGAAGCTGGCCTGCCATCTCAGAGTTGGGCTGGTTTGGAGAGAAATCTGCCATAGATACTAAGGAAGAATATATTAAAGAACATCAAGGTGTTCTTAATGCTTTTAACAGATTTCAAAACCCTTGCTTTGGAAATTTTCTTAATTTGTATACACAGTTACTTCCAAGTCTGGAGGAGAGGGTCTGAGGCTGGGGGTGGGGGGGGAGGGGAAAGATATTGCAAAAATTCCATAAAGTGAGGACCTAGTAGAAGTCATTGCTGTTCCTTTGGACTAGCCTTGCTGTTGCAGTGAGTGTAACAGGTGTCCAGTGGCTGGTGGAAATTTGTCCACTTTTATTGCATTTTGATACCTAAGACAAAACCTCATTTGGTAAGGTTGGCTGTTTTACAGTGATTTGGTTAGAGATTTACTAGGAGAGACTGATGGCATAGTCTGGTTTTCTTTTTTGCAGAGGATGGCTCTTTTTTACCTAAACATGTATGATGGCAGTACTGTCCTAAAATAGTAGTTTTCAAATGTCAGGTGTTCATTTATCACTTAGTGTTTTTGTTATTTTTTTAATATGATTTGCTACATCTAAACAGGATAGTTTTTACCATTGCCCCATGCGTATTTCACAAACTTCATTTGACCTGAGATGCCCCATATTAGAGCAGTGTTTTCTGCAGGGTTTCCCACTCAGAAGGTTTGCTGAGGGTGCTGGGCTGAGGTTTTGTATTTCCAGGTGGTTTCAGATGCTGCCGCTGCAGGCGTAGTCGTAGCCCAGTCAAACCTTTGTTTGCCATCAACAGGACTGGTCCTCTAGGCTTTTGCTAGTCGTTAGCATGCTAAAGCAACAGTCTAGTGACATTTCATTCCAGTGATTTAAAAGATTCGTGTTGTTCCATGTTTCTTTGTTGTTAAAATTGACCTTTTTTTATTACATGAAAAAATGTTGAAGTTCTCTGGGAAGTTTTTCTTTGCGATATTTTTGACAGATTTCTAAACCCCTGCTTTGGAAATTTTCTAATTTATATGCACTTTTTGGTTCAAGATTGAAGACTGAGAGGGCCTTGCGTCTCAACCTTATTGGTAAGTGGGTTTGAGTGCTTGGACTTCTAGCTACATACAGTATAGTGAAATTTTGCTCTATTAATTTCTGTATTATTTTATCAGCTGTTATAAAAACAGGCTTAACTATAAGAACACAGATGAAGTGGAGCAGAGCATTTGACTTTCAGAATAAGTTGATAGTACTCCCTGTAATTCAGCTTGGTGGAAACTTCTTCCCCATGCACCTTCACAGTCTAGCTCATGTTTGATGCTGTCTGCCGGCAGCTGAGGTTATGAAGCTGTGTTAGCTTGCTGCAGCACATCCCTAAGAGAATTGATTTAGAAAGAGGAACAGGTTTGTTTGCCATATAGTGGTGGTGGGTTGGTCCAGGAAGCCGACTGGTAGCAATGCAGAAGGCAGTGACACAGGGGTGTGTGCTAGGACAAACTGCTTACCTCATACTGGCCAAGAAGAGGATTCCCAACATCCCCGTCAATGGCACTTCCTCAGGGATGTAAGTGCCTCCTAGGCTTCATCTCTCAAAGGTCTCATCACCTCCCAGGAGCACTGGGTGCTAGAGAACCCAGTGCTAAAAGCGGTTAAGACATGGGCCTGTGGGAACAGTATAGAGCCAAGCCACAGCGATAGCTTAAGGATTGCAGAGCAGAGGGCTCATGCTCAATAGGGGTGCATGCATGTTCAGTCTTTATCAGTGCCACAGTCTCATTCCCTCCCTTCCCTTCTCCCTCCCTCCCTTCCCTTCTTCCTCCCTCCTTCCCTCCTTCCCTCCCTCTCTTCCTCCTTTCCTCCCTCTCCTCTCTGTCTTTCTGTGGGTCATATTTATTGCTAATAAATTTTTACTGACAAGCCTGAGATTTCTCTTTGAATGGTACCTGGCTCCCCTCTCGGGTTTAACATGTTTAGTAATGCTATGTACAGGTTACTTAACTTCATGTATAAATGTGAAATAGTGCTGATCCAAGTAGAATAATTACAAAGTTCTGGACATGGTGTCAGTGGTATAATTCTTTATTTAAAAATGCTATTTTTTTTAAATCATTGATCACATTTTAAAGTACTTTAAACAAGTTACATGTTTGCTTTATAAGAACTTAGAATTTCATATTCTATTAATCCATCTTTCCTCCCTTCCCTGATGTTAGACAGGAAATGTATGGGGCTGGAGAGATGGCTCTAGTTAGGAGGGCAGGCATACTGCTCTTGTAGAGTACAGTTCCCAGAGTCCACACAGGTGGCTCACAGTTGCCTACAAATCCTGCTCCCTGGGGCCCAACATCCTCTTCTGGCATCTGTGGACACTGCACTCACATGCATAAACACACATGTGCACACGCAGGCGCACGAGCACGCACGCACGCGCGTGCACATAACTGAAAACAAATTGTTTACAAGGAAAGAAATGTATGGAAGCAAACACCACTCCCATCTTCGTCTCTTTAGATAAAATGTATTTTCATTTCTGACAATTTGTTCTCATTGACTCTGCTACACAGATCTTTCTATTTAAAAATGAAATAGATTTGCTTTAGTTTTGAATGTTTGATGTGGAGGATTGTGGTGGAAGCCTTTGCCTACATGAGGCTTGTGGAGTTAAACTTTGATACTTATTCATAGGTGACAAACTTCAGTGGTTTCACAGTCATCTGGATACAAACAAAACGAGATATACAAAGAAGGATGCCTGTGAATTAATTGAAAGGTAACTACGGGCACAGTGAACAAAGGGTCAGAAAAGAGTTCTAGCCTGGCTCTCCAGGGACAGCAGTGCCTTGGATTTGGATATAAGCAGATGTTTTTTTGTTTTTTTTTTTTTTTGACTTAAATTTATGTCCCAGCTTGTCCCTTCTTAATTTCCTGGGATTAGGCACGGCTTCCTGGAGAAGCATTTTCTGCACCTAGGTGTTAGATTGAGGTAAAGTAGCTTGAAAGTGCCTTCAGACCAAGAGAATAGTGTCTAAAAGGCCCTGGAGGTGGGGAAGAAGCTGACAGGTGGAAGGACCTACAGACATTTCATATGACCGGACTAGCAAGCTCAAAGCCTGGTGTAACTGGTGCTGCAAGTGACTCCTGGCTTATGAACAGCATTAGTTGACCATCTGAGTTTGGACCTTATCTAAGGACAGGGGGCTCTGGGGGTACTCTCTGGTATGCTTGTGTGGTCCTCATGCAAATACTTCAGGACACAGGCCAAGAATGAGGACAGTGCTGAGAAGGGGCCATGGTATTGCTGGAGGACTTGTTAAGAAGCCGATGGGTCAGTCTGGGCACGATACTGTTGTCCCTCTGCTTGGTTAGTAGTAGCCTGCTGGAGACCTAGAGTGCAGTGACGTTAAGAGGTAGAACTTAGGCATAGGATAGGGAGAGAGGCCTTCTGTGGCTCACTTAGGATGTCATACTGTGTCCTGGTGGGGTGCTCAGAAGGTGGAGAGGCATGAGGAGGGGCATGGTGTGAGTGTGTTCTCAGGAGGAGGAGGAGGGGGAGGGGCATGGTGTGAGTGTGTGCTGAGGAGGAGGGTTAAGGTCTAAAGAGATCCAGGAGGTGATTCAGTGTGAGCTTCCTCAGTTCAGCACATAGCATGCTGCGATTTGTTCACTCAAGTTAAGTTAATCAGCAAAGTGATCAAGAAGTCTAAGGAAGTGAGGATTTTGACGATGTCAATAGTCAAAGGACAGACAGGGACACCTAGGTACTACATTTAAAGTGAGTTAATACAAGCCCAATATATAGACATTGTAACTCACATCATTTTCATATTTTTCAGGTATTTGAGTCGATTCAGCAGTGAGCTGGAGCAGATTGAGCTGCATAACAGCATCAAGGACAGACAGGGAAGGCGCCACCATTCCCGGGAGGCTGTCATCAAGCAGACGATGGAGCGGGAGCGGCAGCAGTACGAAGGTTATGGCTTCGGTGTGTGTTCTCTGACTCATTTTCCCTTTTTAAAATAGCATCTGAGTTACAATGAATTTCAGAGGTTTCACTCCATTGATTTACTTGATCCTCTTCTTCTGATTTTCTTTTCTTCATGGATAGAATACTTTTGGTTTCATTTCCTTGTGACAGTTGACATCTGTCTTTCTGCAGTTCTGCTGTGACAGTTGCTTCTTCTTAGCACACACCCTACTTGTCCTATGCCCCCCCCCCTTGTGCCAGTCTCCAGGCAGCTGACCATCCTTCCCACTGACACTCCAGCCTACGTAACTAGCTCCTGCACACAAGTGCAGCACATTACTAGTTGGCAGCACTGAAGATTAGTGGCCAGGATAGCCTGCTGAGTTGAAGACCCATAAACCAGTAGCCATTCCAAGGCTACATGAGCTACAGATAATACTGTGATTGTTTCTTAAAAATAACGATTTTGACTAAAAATTGCAGCTTTGTGGTTTAAGAAGCCAGATGACCTAGCACAGACTCTCCAGTGATGAGGTAGCAGCTGTCCCTCGCAGAACATGGCATAGTTTGTTATGTCACTGTGTTCATTCTATTTCTTGCCTGGCCCCTGTAGGCTTTCTTGGTCAAAATAGTGGTTAAAATACATAATAGCAAAATTAAAATTTCAAGTCTTAATATAAAAAACATAAGCATATAGCATCCCAAAAAGAACTACTGTGGATAATCCCAGAAATTCTGAAGTGTGTGAACTTCTTCTTCATTGCTGAAATGTGCTTCTTAACCTAGAAAAAGGAAACCATAGTTTTTTCTTTGGAGCTAGACACATCCACACTTAATATAAAGTGGATGCCCTCATGTTCCTCAACTTAAAAATAAAATAGATGGGCTGTGTGTGTGTGCGGGGGGGGGATAGGAGGGCTGGGAACCAGCATCTGGGATGTAAAATAAATAAATAAATTTTTAAAAATAAAATATAGAAGCCAGAAATGGTGGCACATACCCTTAATCCCACCCTTGGAGTCAGAGGCAGGTGGATCTCTTTGAGTTCCTGGCCACCTTTGTCTTCATAGTTCCAGGACAGCCTTGGCTACATGTTCCATGACAGACAGGCTACAACCTGTCTCGAATATATACATAAAATAGATGACTATTTCTCTGGTTCAAAAAATTGAGGATTAACTCAAAAGTCCCTGGCACTGTACAAGAGCAGCATAGGGCTTCTGCCACTCTTGTGATGTTCAGATAGTTACGTTCTGTGCATATAAGATGTTGTATGTGGGTCTTTCCCCAACACTAAGATAAAATACCCTGGCAAAGGCAACGTAAGGGAGGAGGGGTTATTTTGGTTCACAGCTTCAGTTCTCTGTAGTGGTGAAGTCGAAGCAGTGGGAGCTATATAGCACCGTACCCACAATGGGTGCTGTTGCTAAGTTCTCTCTCTTCATTCAGTCTGGGACCCAGCCCAGGAAATGGTCTCGCTCAGCACTTAGGTCTAGTCTTTATTCTTCAATGAACCTTATCAAGGTGATGGCTGTGGGCATTCGTAGGCCCAACTCCCAAGTGATTCTGGATTTCATCACGTTGACAGTTGAAGACTAAGGACCACAGTTCCACCCTTTGGCAGCTTGACACCCAAACACATCGCTTTAAATATGCCTTCCTCTCTATGGCCATCTTATAATGCAGAAATAGAGTCAATCCAGTTCAAGTCCTAGTTTCTGACAATTCTAGTGCTGCTTAAAAGTCCCTGAGACTCAAAGGCAGTCTTTTAACTGAGCTCCCATGCAAGTTACAGGGTAACTTAAATTGTACTGAACTTTGTAAAGGTCCTAATGATTGTAATTCTTTTAAACTTTTTCATAGACTGAATGATGTGTTTTTTTTTTTTAATGTTAAGTAATCTTTAAAATCTGGCAGATTCTACTAATGTGACATAAGACATGGACTTAATAACTTGTCTTTCATAGCACTACAAAATAACAAACACCCATACCTGCTATTTGAGTACACTGACTTATCCCACAAGTCTGTGCCAATACTTCTGTGTAACAGCGCTCTCCTGTCATCCCTGGACACTGAACTCTGTTCTTTTTTAGTGTAGTGTTTGTGTTGACTGTAGCAGTGCAGCTCATAAATGCCTCTAACTTTAGCTTTAGGGGATTCCACACCTTCTGGACTCAGCGGGCATCTGCACTTTCGTGATGTACAGGCACATTTGCACGTACATTAAAACGGTTTTCTTTTCATTAGCATCAGTTACCATATTGTGTGTGCAATAACAAGTGAAACTATAACAAGCAATTTAGAAAGAAAATGCGTAATGGATATTAATTATTTTCTTTTTCAGAGATTCCCGACATTTTAGATGCTAATAATCTGCAGACTTTTCGGTGAGTATCTGAGTTCCTTGGAAGTTGTGTTGTGAAATACACAAGGCATGAACTTCCCTGGATGTAGATGTTAACAGAAGAGAGAGTGGAGAGCCTTCTGTTGGCTTTCTGCTCCAGTGGGTGCGCCTGTGTCTGTCTGTGGCACCTAGTGTACATGCAGCCGATGCTGGTGACGCACCTTTGCTTTTCCAGAACAGTAGTCTATTAGAGATGTCTCTGTTTTCCCCTGATGCTGGTTTTTATCTCTTAAAGATAAAATAGCAAGAACAGAAGAATAAAACTGGTGCCAGGGCAAGATTTTAGTCACTGAGAACCTTTGGTTCAGGGCTCTGTGATTCTGCCCTGGTAACCATGGAGACTGCTGAGCTGTAGAAACTCAGATTCTGTGAATTAGAATTTTTTTTTTTTTATTAGTAATGTGGTCTTCCCTAAAACATGTTAGGGAGTCTGAATTTTTTTTTTTTCAAGTTGAAATTAGATAAATTTAAATCCAGGCATAACTGGAAACAAAATGTGTTCTGTGTTTCTGAAGCAGTGTGTATTCTGCCTCTTGCAAAGAAAGTGAGAAGTGTGAGATGAGCATAGCATGTTAGCATTGCTGGGTAGGGATCCATTTTTGGAATGATCTCCAGACTGCTCTCATGAGGTAACTGAAGACAGAATTGTCATACAAGTAGAGAGGTTCAAGAATGAGATTTTTCTTTTTTTAGAAGAGTCCTCCGCAGTGTGCCTGTGTGTGAGAAGGATGCCTTTCTGATTTAGAGGTTTGCTAGCTGTGACACAATTGTAACTTTTGAGGGTCTTGAGACCATGTACCCTGGTAAAGGAGAGTGTTTAGGGGAGGGAGAAGAAGGGCCATCTTGTGCATTGCTGAGTGTAGAGCGTGTAGGAGTCTGTGCATGCGATACTACTGTAGCAGGAGCAAGTAGTTGCATACTCACTGCCTATTTGTGTGTTCCCCACACAAACACGTGTGTGGGAAATCTGTTAGACTTTGAGGTTTTCCTCTGCTACAGGCAGAGTTCTGAAGCCGACTGTCCTTGCTCTGCTGTCACTGCCCTCAGCACGACACTCATTTCTTTTAGGCAATGGGATTTTGATCTGAAGAAATTGCCGAACATCAAAATGAGGAAACTTTGTGCTAATGATGCAATTCCTAAGAAGCGCAAACCGAAAGCCATGTTAAATATAGAAATAGATTTAGGGGGATTAGAACTAACTGGGGAAATTGGAGACTCTAAAGATGGGAAATTGGAATCAGCAAGTGAAGCAAGTGACTCGGATGAAGAAATGACTCCAGTGCCTGCCTGCCCTTGAAAACAAAAGGAAGCCACGCAAGACCCTCATGTCCTGCTCATTGATTATGGTAAATAATCAATCGTGTATGGGCCAGTTTGCAGCCAAGCCTGACTGCCAGAGTTTGATTCCCAGAATCCATGGGATGAAAAGAACAGATGCTACAAGTTTTCTTCTGACCTTACACAAATAAATAAATATTTTTAGTAATTATTTATATGTAAGAATTTGCTGTTTAACTCACTCTCAAATAAGTCATTTGCAGTTTCAAAATAGGTTTACGATTTTTAAAGAATGAAAGGTTTCATATTAATTGAATTGCTTTTAAAATACAGAGATTGTATTAACCTGGGAGCTTAGCTGGGAGTCTAAATAATAACTGAGTGCGTTCTGGGTGAGTCTGCTCTGTCTACATCACTTCATGGTCAACAGCATCATAGTGATGGAAATAAAAGATGGAGGGGGTGCAGCAGGAGTCTAAGGCAGCGAATGGAAGGATTCTTTCTATGTTGCCCTCTCCTCTAAAGCCTGTCATCTCTGAACATCAACGTACTGATGGCAGTAGGCAGGGTGGGGGGCAATGTTAAACACATAAATGGGGGACATGTTAAACTATATCCAAAACATAATTGTCTGGATTGCAGAAGGGAAAATTGGGAGAAAAGGGAGTTTGGAAGACAACTTAGACAAGGAAGTGCTGTAGGGGGCCTGAGTCTCTTTCTCCAGCAGGGCTGTGTGGCAGGTTCCTATTCTCTCAGTGCTGGGGGGATGGGCGGCTTAGGGTAGAGACAGTAAGTAGACATGAGTGATGAAGGTGGTACTCTGAAGGGTCAGTGCTACCAAACCCCTCCAGGCCAGGCACAGCATAAGGTTGCCCTGATGGGCTTCAGTCTTGGATGGCATTTTTACTATGCGCCATTATGTATTGGAAGTAACTTGTTTTTTGATTTTACAGAGAGTCATACCAAATTTGGCTTGATTCTCAGAAGAAAATTTGGACTTTTGAAAAATGTTGGGACTATTCAAGAGCCATGGAGACTTTAAAAGACCATGGAGACTTTAAAAGACCGGCTTGGCCTCAGTGTAGAAAGTCTCCTAGTTTGTATAACAATAGACCTAGGCCCTGGGTGGGCCCACATCTATTCTGAGGGCTTATATACATGTCTAGGGACTGGTGAGAGGCTGGTGAGGCCCTGCAGTTTTAGGGGTGCCTCTAGGATTAAAGGAAATACTTGATATCAGCCTTATACATGATAATAGATGTCTTCTGATATCACCCCCACAGTTGGAAAGCTGTTTAAGAAGATGTTTGAATAAACCGTGCACTCCAGTCTCCAGCATGGACTGACAGCCCCCTTGAGATGACAAGTTGCCTCTGTCTCTTCTTTATCGCCTAGGGGTAGCTAGGAGTTTTAGGATCCACACTCTTCTACTCAGGGGTGGACCCGGGGCTGTTCGGGTGGCTCTAATTGCAGCCCCAAAGACATCAGTCTGGAATAGGTGGCCTCTAGCATGGGACTGATACAGGCGGAACCCTGGCATTGCAATAGCAGTTTCATTTCACAAGCAAGCAGACCCCACTCCATATTGCTTCCGCTGACACCTTAATCGTGTGGTAAATCTTTCATGTAATTCCACAAGGCAGAACTCTTCCTATAAGTCTACTCTTTAAGCATTATAGTAAACTACTTTCTAGACAATGTAACTTGGGAAGCTGCAGGGATAGGTGTGTGCATATGTAGTGTTCATTGTAAACACACTTAGGTGACCCAAGGAAAACAGATACCACGCTCTTGGGTGGAAGTGCCCTGTTCTGTCCTGAAGCACCTTCCCTTCATTTTTTTTTTTTTTTAGTTTTTTATTTTTTATATATTTGAATTACAAACAAGATTGAATTACATGATGATCCCAGTTCCCTTCTCCCTGCCTTCCTCCTCTACCACCCCCCCCAACTAAAATCCTGCCTTTCTTCTATGTCCTTTCTTCTAATCTACACCTGACTCAAAATTTCTGCTTCCTCATGACCTCTGCATCCTTCCTTTTCTTCCCTTCTCATTCTCATAGCTTCCTCCCCCCTCTTCCCATGTTCTCAATTTGCTCAGGGGATGGTGACCCTTTCCCCTTCTCCAGGGGACAAAGTTTGTCTCTTTTAGGGTCTTCCTTGTTTACTAGTTTCTCTAGCAGTGTGGATTGTAGGATGGTAATCCCTTACTATATATCTGAAATCCACATATGAGTGAGTACATACCATGTTTGTCTTTTTGTGAT